ACAGATGGCACCGGCAGCGCCTGTTCCTCCCAACTGCCTGTTAATTCACGGCAAGCAGCTAGCACCTCACACCTTTTAGTGGCCAAGATCTCATGTTTTGCACAGCCGCCAGATCATCGGTGAAGTAGTGGAAGACCTATCCGCGGTGATGACCTCGCATTTTAATCAGGTCTAGGATCGGCGGCGAAGGAGAATTCGGCATGTTGCCTTTTGCCACTGGTTAGGCACTTCATATTTGCAAAAGCCTGGTGGCTTTGCCCCACACTTGACTTGATGGATCGGCTGTTGCGTGCTGCCGTGCTCTGATGGAATAGCAATCAGAAGGTGCTGCCGTGTCCAGCTGTGGTCAGTGCGAGGAGACCCTACAGGCCTGGGGGAGTGGGAAGAGGAGCCAGACTGGGTTTGGAGTGAAAGCATCTGCTGTCAGACTGCAATCAGAAGTGACACGATTCACCTGAATGAATACTGAGACACTCTCTCATCCAATTCACCATGTACACCCCCACCACCACCTCTTTTTTTCTGTCACCTGCACTGCATGCAAGTTAGCAGATTTACCTGCCATGTCTCCAGAACAACACCATGTCCCAAGATGTTGCAATGTTTGCACATGGTAGTGAGCTGATGAGCTTCTGTAAGGTTAATGACCCCAATTACATTCAATTAAAACTGCTAATAGCAATCATCAGTGTAGTAACAGCATCACAAGCAAGACTGAGAAGCTGTCTGACAGCTTTCCGAAGCTGGCAAGGAGCCACAAAGAGAGAATCCCACACCTTAACCCCTTTATCCGGTGTTGATAAGGGTAGTGTTGTAGTCAGGACCACTAGAGGAGAGTCTGAGTTGAGACGGAGACCAAGGTTTTTGTAGTACCCAAGTAAAAATTAAGACCAGAAGTGACCAAGACAGAGGCTAGACGAGTTCAGATTAGCACCTGCCCTACTTACTGTACTCGGACCTCCAATTAAGTTGGAACTGCATGTGCTTGCCAGAGCCACTTGCAGTCACTTCAGCTGTGTGAAAGTCTACTGAAATGATGAATGGAACTGCTTCCGTCAGGGATGATCAGATTCTCCTTTTGAGTTTTGGCTCCTCTTGATGTTTCTGCTGAATGCGATTAGGGAGTTTGTCCACTGTCTCCTTTGGCTCATTAGTGCTCCTGACCTACACTTCTGGAAAACTGCTTTGGGGCGATGCATTTTGGGAAAAGCTCTACACATAAAATTAAATTGAATTGAAGCTATTGCATTCATTTAAACTAGCTAATTTTGTTCAAGAGTCTGATGCCCAGTCGTGGTGCTGTGATTAGATTTTACATTCAAAGAATTAATAAAATCCCCTCTCAAAACTAGCTTGGCAAAAACATTAACATAGCCACTTTAATTATTTTTACAAACATTTATTTAGCATGCCTCTTAAAATTGTCTTCCCTTGTGGCCCATCCTGAAGGATGTGACTCTAATAGGCTTAGTTTGGCATTCATTTGCTATGGTTTCAAACCACTGGCATTAGAAGCTTGATATTTTATATTTCCATATGGAAATTACCTGTTGTAATGGCAAATTTTTCAGATGACCAGTCAACAAAGTAATTGTCTGTGTTCAGATGCATAGGTGTGTAATTATAGGACTCGACGGAATTCCAGATAATTATGTTGGTGTATACATTAGCATTATCAGCGAAAGAGCACACTTCACGTACACACCTACTATGACAAGAAAGACAGCATGTTATTGAATGAAACAATAAAAAAGCTAAAGGAGAAAGATGCAGGAGTTAACATAATTACATAATTATCAAAATCCAAGGAATCAGCACCTTAAACATGCCGAATAACTACATGTGTAAACAGATATATATCTGAGTTAACTGAGATATGAATATCGTAATAATTTTCCCTGACAATATGTTTCTTATGTCTTTCATTATTGTGTTCTCCTTGTTACTGCTTTTTAAACACCAGACAGCATGAAAAGTAAGCAAAGAACAGTGAGCGGCTGGCCAGTGGCCCCTCACCCTTTAGTCCTTGATTTAGATACACACCTCCCGGCTCTTCATTGATCTCCGACCTGGAGTCAAGTCCCGTGAATAAATCAGATAATTGAAGGTGGTGTAGAGCTAATTGGATTATTGTTTTCAGCTCGAGGCCATGTAGCTGTACGGAGGAATAAGAACCTCCCCGTATAATCGTACATCTGTTATTACTGCCGTGCTCAGTCGTCACACTACATTGAATTCAAGAGAGCAAAATTATTGATGAAGCAAAAGTGTGATTGGTATGGAGAAGAGTAAAATTCACAGTGTGTTCTATAATTTAGCACAGTGTAAATGTGTCATTCTACTAAATACAAGTTGAAGATCAATTAAAAGACTAAAGACCAAACATGTACTCCACTTACCCCAGTTGTGTCTAGAGGAAGGTATATTTTATTGCAAGGTGTCCATGAGTCTAAAAGTGCATTTAAAAATGAAGTATGAGTAAATGAACAGGTATTTTTATATCTTTGCAAGCGCTTCACCAGAAATCAATGTATGTTAGTTCTTACCAACAATATGTAAACCGGCCAACTAGACTAAACCAGACTTTAAAAAAAATCAGTCGAATGAAGGAAAAAAATTAGAAGTGCACATTTGAAAAATGTTATACATAAAATATCATGTAAGCTGTATTGTTTAAACCTACTGTAGGTTTATGTGTTGACGAAGGCCTGAGTATCAAAGGCTGCCCTTTCAGTTAAGCTAATACTCAGCTAATAGCTCTATTGTGTCTGATCAGTGCAGTGACACATGGTGATGACTTGTGTTCTACACAAGTTTTTTTTTTTCTTTTCAGTGGATGATGTGCAAACAAGTTTATTAAGGTAACATTGAAAACAGACAGATCTTTTTGTCGTTCTAGCTAACACCAGCTAGCCTGGTTACAGATGCATTTCTGATTCTTTATCTCACGTCTAACATCCAACATTGGCATGCATGCTCATGTTAAGGCGCTTGTACTTGGTGGTAGCAAAGCACAGTTTACTTAAAGACAAATACAAGCAAAACTGTTGCACTTTTTATATAATATACAGGCTTTTTAAAACTTATAAAGCCTGTATATTTTTTCCTTGACCTTTTATGATGCCACGTCACAAATACAAGAATAGCAATTTCTTTTATTCGAGTTTGATCCTAAATTACATTTGATACCATTATAAAATCTTAAACATGTAAGTCTTAAGTAGTTAAAATTAGATTTAACTTGAGGATGCCTGCAGATACCCTGCATTGTCAAAATAGAGCTGTAATTTTTTTTTTTGTTGGTTTCTGTCCAAGTAAAAATGCTGACGAAAATTTTATTTGTTATACATACATTACAGATATTTTTATATAGTGAGTTATTTGAAAAACACTCAACATCACAGAAATGTGATGCTCCCCAAACTTTCTTGGATAATCTTATTGAGCATCTACTGCTAAGAGAAATACCAAAAACTACTTGCTCACCATATCCCACTTCTGTAAAAACAGTCATGTTGATTGAAATAAACATCATTAGAATCATAATCTCCAAATGTTTTAAGCTATTTTCATGTCGCAATGCATACTGTAAATGGCAATGTGTGAAAAATCCATTTTAATTTAACGCAACCCCCTAATTGGTGAACTTTCTGCCGGCCCAAGCAGCTGCATCTCCAAAATGTCCCCCACTGCTCATCTAATTGTCATGAACATGTTCAAGTAATCATGGTTTTAAAATGATCATAGAGCAAATTAATGCTGAGCTGATGGTTTCTTTCTCACCTCTCACCCCTCGTTGGAACGGCTTATGCACACCCCTTTGTCTTGCCTCGCGTTTCTGGTGTGGAAATTAGCATGACCCAAATTATTAACCCACATTAGAATCCAGTTAGGCTGTTGCAGTGTAATGCGATTGGATGATAATGAGATAAAAGCTGTAATGGATGTGTTTACCTTGTAAATGATGCGGTTTTATGATGCCAGTGTTCCACAGCAACTGGAATTGATCACAGGCACTCGTATTTGCCCTCCATTGCAGTCTTTTTAGGCCTGGGCTGAACCTGGAGCTAAACCTTTAACACATGAGCAAAGTGTGGTACCCATTAGGGACGCAACAGTGCATCCTGACATTGATATCGCAAAACTATGTTACAATGTTCCTCATGGAGAATTCTATTAATTATGCCCTCTAATGCAATTGCATTTGAATACCAAAGTTTGCAAATGATCAGCGCCAATCAGCACCTCACTCCAGGACTTTTCCTGCCTCCCAGCTCTAGTGTCATTAGTAAGTTGTGCAAAATCATTATAGTCATAGTCTTTCTTGGTCCGAATTTTGTTTACAGTTTTGTACATGTCAAATTACATGTTTTGTTGATTTTCCAAGTGAAATTAAGTTAACACAGCCTTTGCAGGAAAAAAATTAAATTTTTTCTGCGTTTTCTGCGAACTTCTGTTTATTCACTGGTTTTTGACATATCGGGTGGAAAAATAAAATAAAAATGTAAAATGTGCCATGACTTTTGCACAATTTATTTAACATTAATATGTTAAATTTATCAAGTACACGGTAATTGTGCCCTCTGGAGAGAATGTGTTCACTTATTTACATATAGAAAATCAACAAAACACATAATTTGACCAGAAGTACCAAACTTTTGCATGTGACTGTATCTGGACAGAAACATAAATTGCACTTTAATGGTTAGTCACCTGCAGCAAAGTACACACTAGAAATTAGGTGTGTTCAATTTGTTTAGTTACATTTTCACCTCACAGTTGACATTCACTGGTAAAAAGTGTACTTTTCCAGATGTTTTAATTGCTATTATGCACACATTGTAAAAATGCTAAACAAAACAATGAAAAATGTTTGAAGTACATCTAATGTCATGTAAATTTTATTGATGATGAGTACAGTTATAATAGTGAAAAACTCTGACTACACATTGTCTTACCAGTGGTATGTGACTAAATCTGTGGGTCTTGGTGTTTTTCAGAGCAAGAAGAGTCTTTTGAATTTATCATTGTGTCACTGACGGGACAAATGTGGCATTTTGAGGCATCTACATATGAAGAACGGGAGCTCTGGGTCCAAGCCATCGAGAGTCAGATATTTGCCAGCTTACAATCATGCGAAAGTAGCAAGAATAAGGTAAAAATAAATTCTATTATTTAACATTTTGAAGATATTTGAATGGTGTTCCCCAGGGGTGTCCTCTGGGGCCAACAGAAGTTCCACCTGAATATGTGCCTCACACATTTAAAGTTATGGAAAGCTAATGATGACCACCCTCCACACATGTTTTTGTCTTGCCAACATTCCTCTCTCCTCTCCTCTCCTCTCCTCTCCTCTCCTCTCCTCGCTGCTCCTTTTTCTGATCATGTGGTGTGCAGACAGATCCTGTGCACTGTTAGAAAACTGTTATTAAGGCCCCAGAGACACAGGCTCATTTTCATACGCGTACCCCACGTCTCATCTCCTCTCTCTCCCTTCTCTCTCACTCACTCTATTTCCTTTTTGTGATCTCTGACTTAATCTCCCTCCACTCAAGTCTCGATTAGGGAGCCAGAGCGATGCTGTGGCCATCCAGTCCATCAGGAATGTAAGAGGCAACAGTTTCTGTGTGGACTGTGACTCCCCCAGTGAGTACAGCTCATTTCACCCGCCTACTACATAAGCCTTCTGCACACCCCTTCACATGTTCCAGTTAATGACTTTGATTTCTTTTTCTTCAATAATTTAATACCGTATGACACAATAGACAGTATTTTCTTATTAAAATCCAGCTCAACAGATGCAGAAGCAGTGACTATTACCACACTATCATTGGCTTTGGGAAATCTTTTTTTTTTTTATGTTTTTTTTTTTTAAACCCAATTTTCTCCCCAATTTAGTCGTCTCCAATTCCACCCGCTAGTTAGGACTCCCCCAATCACACGATACTGTCAACACTAGGAGGGCGAAGGCTAACACAGACTTCCTCTGAGACCTGTAAGTCAGCCACCGTATCTTTTCGAACTGCCGCTCACGCAACGTCATTGGACAGCCAAACGCACTCGGAGGAAAGCGCCAACCGCTAGATCTGCTACGTCAGCTGACAGACGCCTGCGCTGACTAGCATCAGGTTGAGTGATGGGGGGAGGAGAAGGGGGGGCCCATCCTACCCACCCAGAGTGTGAGGCTAAATGTGCTCTCTAGGACTCCTGGCCACGGATGGCTGTAGCATCACAAGGGATCGAACTTGCGATCTCCTGATGATAGGGCCAACGCCTAGACGGTTGCGCCACTCGAGAGCCCCTGGAAATCTTTATATTGTATGATTATTGGGTGTGACCTTGCTATTCAACCAGTAACCTGCTTGTTGCAGCAATTGTTGATGGACCGATTCTGTTAAATTTTAAATGTCTGCTGATATTTCCCATAGAGTCTATTATTATGGGTACAGTAATATACATACAGTAACTTATGCATAATACACCTTGTGTGTCTAATATTAACATTAATACTGTTGTTAATTATGAACATAGTAGTATTCCACCATTTTTATTTCTGCATAATAAAATGAGTAAGATGAAAAAAAAAGTCATTCAGAATAATTTGATTTGAAATGCTCCGTTCTAGAGAAACCTCCCCAGTCAGAATGTTTCACAGGTGGTGATAGGAACCAGACGTCTGAAGTGTTCATTGCTTCTGAAAGCTACCTCACAGAAAGTTCTACCATTATATGGTTACAAACATGCTGCCTGATGTCTGAGACATTTTTTACATTAAGGGTTTGGCCTAAAACATATATTTTTTAAAAGCCATTCACGGCTGAGGGGTACATGTAGGGCTCAGTGAGGCAAATAGTCCCAAATAAAACTTATCCACTGTAAAGAAATCTAAGTTGGCAGGTTTCTTTACAATGAATCATTTCACATCAGACTGCTCTAAATGATTTTGCTCATATGTCAATGACTGAATTATACAGAAATCTTGCAAAATCAGTGGAATTCCCTTTTAAGAACATACAGTGGGATCACTTTGAAAATCTGAAATTTTCTTCCTTTAAACATGGAAATAAACAAAGTTTTAGAACAAAAAAAGACTAAAACAAAGAGAAATTAAAATGAAGAAGAAATATTAAAGATTGGGCACTATTTCTAAGTCACTATTCTGGATTTTCATTATTCTGTATTATTTATGTATTGCACATCCATGTACCATTTAATGTAACTCTAATCAGGTGCATCTAAGGTGTCATGTAGCAACATATGCTGTGGACAGAAAAATGCTGGAATACATGGAATGTGAAGCACAGTTTTTGAGTATTAATGCTATATTTCTTCTGTCAATTCGACCTGCAGACCCAGACTGGGCAAGTCTGAATCTGGGTGCTCTGATCTGCATCGAATGCTCAGGGATCCACCGAAATCTGGGCACTCACCTGTCCCGTGTGCGCTCTCTGGACCTGGACGACTGGCCCGTAGAACTGAGCATGGTTATGACTGCCATCGGTAACGCTATGGCCAACAGTGTGTGGGAGGGGGCTCTGGAGGGCTACACCAAGCCTGGAGCCGACAGCACCAGGTAAACCATGTCATTGATTACAGTCCTTTAGATTAGCAGCAGTTATCCAGCAGCTGGATGAACAGGAAGACTGCTGGTCCAGTTAGTTTGTGTTGCCTGCGAAAATTCACAAAAATAGAACAGAGAGCGAAAATGTTGCATTTCTGCATCTGAATAAGTACATCTGATTTGATATCATCAAAACACCTCAGGTCTGGTCAGCACAGAGTGAGCGTTACAGCTGGCCTAAGTGTTTGTATCTCTGACCATGTGTGAGTTTTAAAAAAGGGATTTTAAAAGGGATGTTACAGTCCACTCAATGAACAGAGGTCTCTCTCTCCTGCGCGCTCTCTCTCTCTCTCTCTCTCTCTCTCTCTCTCTCTCTCTCTCTCTCTCTCTCTCTCTCTCTCTGAGTGGAGTCTCCTAGTTGTCTATTGAACAGATCCTGTGCGGCGGGAGCAGCCGAGTGCTTTTGACTTGATGAAAGATTATTGATGCTGATATCCCCCTCTCACACTCCAGTCGGCAGGACTGGCTGGCGGCCGGGGGAGTGAATGTTTTTCACTGTCAGGAGACTCTGATGGCTCACGGCATCCTGCAGCCGTCCCCCGCTCACTCACTCACTCACTCCCTGCTCTCCCACTCCGTCAGAAATGAAAATCTCATTAACGTCATAACTGATTTTCCTTAGCCAAAGTGACTATACACTGTAAGTGATTATACATGGTGGGTAATCAATGCTTTTTCCTTCTTTTCAGTCATGAGTCATGTTGTAGGGCAGTATATGTTTGGAATTTTGGAACACAGTTGCTTTCCTTGAGTGTTTTAACTATGTATTGCCTTAGGAGCCTTAGAGGCCTAAAATTCTGTCAACCTATAATATCGGCCGAGACAAATTTGTATTTAGTCTATATTTTAGATTTTATTTTTTTATATTATAGTAGTTAAACAGTGATTTACAGACTGATTTGATTGTCCTTCCGTTGTGTTGGTGTTTAGTGTTCAGATTCATCAGTTTAGCCTGTATTGCTGTGATACTTAAACAGGGGGAGTCTCATATTGGGTTGCTAAGTGACACAACCGTGTAAGCTTTGGCTTGGCAAAAGTACAGTTGTATGCAAAAGTTTGAACTCCCTCACACAAATTACAGGTTTTGTTGATTTTCTAAGTTAAAATAAGTGAACACGTCTTCTGGAGGGAACTTGAATATGGCATTTTTCTTAAATCTTAACAGCACATTTGCTGAGTTTAACAACATAAAAAAAATAAAACAAACTTTTGTTTTATTTTATTTTTTACTGTTTAATTCAGCAAATAAACAATAATTGTGCATTAAATCATGCAGCAGTGTGTTCCCTTTAGAGGACGTGTTCACTTATTTTGACTTAGAAAATCAACAAAACGTCATTTGACCAGGGGTGCCCAAACTTTTGCATACGACTGTATTGTTGGTACCAATAAAACTGTAGGACAACATCAGCCGATATATCACTCAGGCTCTAGTCCACATCACAACTGCAAATACAAAGGAATTAGTAGGAGTTTAAATCATATTATTTAATGAACTTTATTCAGCCACAACAAGTAGCATGTTTTCAAGTTTCTGTTGTACATTAGCAGCTGCTTGTTACAGGACTGGCTTGTGAAAAAAGTTCCCTGCATGACCCAGCTTTTGTAAAAGGAAGATGTTCCTCTACTCCAGTGGTTCTCAGTCCTGGTCCCAAAGGCCACCTGTCCTGCATGTTTTAGTGTTTCTGCTTTAACACAACCCCTTCAGCTCAAGAAGCGCTTCTTAATTAGCTGATTAGTTTAATCAGGTGTATTGAAAACAGGGCAAAACATTAAACAGTGCAGAGCAGGTGGGCCTCCAGGACCAGGACTGAGAAAATTTGTAGTTCAAATTTTTTTTCCTGTGTTACACTCAATACTTAAAGAACAAAAAATACTGTTAAGTTCCTGATAGTCATAGATCTAATTCTGCTTACGTCACCTTTAAGGTCTCTTAAAGGTCTCTCCTAGTCCAGTGCTTGTTTTGCCATTGCGTGGTCTGTTAGTGTCCTGCTGACAAATTGATTTAGCGCTCGTCACAGAGTTGGCATGTAGCAGCATGGTGACTGCAGAAGCACTAAGTGTCTGAGCTCATTTCTTAAACTACTGAGCTGATGACTTAGTTCCACAAGCCACTGCCATAACAGTGATAATAAACACTGCACAGTAACATGATCCTAATACACTGCCTTTGTAGAAAACATTTGAATTTTAATTACATTTCATTTGTTAATCTACTTTTTTCCTTCTGAATTATGGTGATAAAGGTACACACGTTCTTCCTGAAGCTGCACTATGTAAGATTTTTTTGATAAAATTAAAAGAAGTAGCGTTACTGAGCCAGAAGCAGCAATTCTTTTAAGCCAAAGTGTTGAATCTTAAGTGTTTTGGACCACATCATATGTTTTAATGTGTTAACGTCATATACACTGACTCAAAAGAAGGTCCAGCTCCATGTTTAGTTCTCAAATGTAAAATTGCTTGCAATAATCAGATTCATCCACTGGGGGAAGAGATATGAAGTACATCTGATGTTACAAAGGGTTTTGCACGTTACATATTTCCACCAGAGACGTCTCCAAATCCCCAAATCTTACATACTGTAACTTAAGGAAAACACATTCTTTCAGCCTAGACTACCTTTCTCTTGCTCTTGAGACAATTTGCCATTAGAATAGAGTACATGTTGATGACAGTCCTTCTGAGTGAAAGACAGACTGAACTTTATAGTCATAGGTGACCAACATGATGATATTGCTATTGTGATGAATTGTACCATTATGTAACAGTATGCTTATCTAACCATATCATGGATATTGTCGGTACATAAAGAGTACTATCTGCATAGATCATACAAAGAGAGCATAATTAGTCCTGTTTAATTGGATTCAGTGCAGTGCAGTATGTGAAATGTCGACTAAAAATCAGTGTTTTTATCATATTTTTCAATATAGTGCACCACTTGTTCTTTTTTTTTGTTCCAACTTATTGAACCTCTGAAAAACAAATTATTGTGATGCATTTCAAGTATTGTAAATGTTTTAAAGAGTCCTGATAAGAGATGGTACAATACTACTTTTTCTTATCCAATACCAATACCAATACTGAAACCTCGAGCTTTAGCTGATACCAATATCAGTCTGATATTTCTGCTTTAAAAACTGAATTTTAAATGAGCTATTTTCAATTGAAACACTTCACTTAAAAACAAGCATCAAAAATGGGCTGCAACTGTCGATTATTTTAATCGGTAAGAATACAAAAGTCAGTGTTTCACCTCAACTAAAGGGGAGGGGGCATTATGAAGGATTTCAAGCCACTCAAAACTGCTTTCATGTTGAAGCTTGTGCTAAACTCAGCCACACTGACACTGACAAGTTACCTTCCAGTGCAGTCTGAATAATTTTCCTAAAGCTCTCATTTATTCTCAATAATAAGTTCAACATAGAATATGCTAGCTAGCTAGCAGTCTGGAGCAGTAATAAACGTTTTTTGAACTGCACCTCTCATATCACAATGATAAAAATCAAGTGATTAGTTGTTAAATAAAAGTAGAACATTTGTGCACTTTTGAATCAGCGCTGAATGGGACACAGTAACAGAAATGTGTCTCCTACTAGTGAATTTCAGATGCCGTTCACTACAGGCCATAAAATTATTGCCAATTATTTTTTGTAACACTGCTTAATTATTTTCTTGTTATAGCTGATCTCTTTCCTTCAGAGAAGAGGAGGTGAACAGATGAATTTAACTCAGCTGCTGTGGTGTCAGGCTTTAATATAATTAATTATCATTATTATTTTGACGAATAGAACCAATCGATCAAGGAGCTCTTCAGGTCATCCATTAAGCAGATTGATAGATTTATGATAGATTTACTCAGTGTGTGTCATAAATTAGTCTGCGGTCATAAATCTTATGTGACCAGAGAGAGAGAGAGACACACACACTCACACCGACAGAGAGGGAGAGAGAGAGTGTGTGAGGCTATGTGATAGAAGGGAGTAAGTCTTAAATTAGCAGTTGGCAGTTGTGTGTTTGTAAGTCTGGTCTAATTGCCTGACACTTGCGTGTGGAAGTGCAGAGAGAGATTTACACTTTTTTCTGTCTTGCACTTATTCCCTCCCACACTTACCTCTTTCACTCTCTCTCTCTTTCTTTTCTTCTTTTTCTTTTTCTATCTTTTTTCTTTTAGCCTCTCTTTTCTTTTTCTTTTTTTCCCTTTTCTTTCTCTCTATATCCTTTCTCTTTTTTCTCTCTCTCTTCTTTTGTTCTTTTGGTTTTTCTCTCTCTCTCTCTCTCTCTCTCTCTCTCTCTCTCTCTCTCTCTCTCTCTCTCTTTCTCTCTCTCTCTTTTTCTCTACTGTACGACTGTGATTACTTGTTTAAACTTGATTACTTTATCAAAAAACAGTCAATTATAAAGTAACCACGCTTTTAAATCTCATTTCAGTTTATCTTTTTTTCCATAAAAGTATTCTGGAATCTTTGAACATTAAATACAAGTTATTCATTTTTCAGCATGAGGGGGAAAAAGCAGAAAACTTATATTTAACCAAAAATTACAGAGAAGCCTCAACATGTATACATGATATACATTTTTCAGTATTTATTTCATGTCTGCATTCGTTCCCATCGCAATCTCATTATCCAAGTGTAACAACTTTATGTATGGGTGGATTGAGGACACCGGGAGCAGGTGTGGAGACATTTTATTTTTACACAACAGAAAAAACACGCTTTTCAGCCCACAGACAAGATAAGACAAGACACTCGCGGGGACTTTTAAGTCTCTCCCTTTGTTTTCTTTTGCTTTCTTTTCTTAGCTTCCCTCAGCTTCCCTCAGCTTTGCTCTGCTCTCCCGTGTCCACCGGTCTCGTCCTTTCTCTGGGCTCTGCCACCCACTGAGGAAAGAGATGGCTGTAAGTAGGCTGGCAGAAACAAGGCACAGGTGAATATCATCAGCTACTTAGC